TTAGCACATTGCAGCTTGATATGAAATATGATAGACAACATGGCTAACATATGTAAGCAGAGCCATTGCTATAGCTAATTGTATGATTCTGTGCACAAAGTCTTTGAGAGCATTTCCTAGTGGATGTGCCATTTCAAGATTGTCTCACTGGTAGCTCCAGATAGAGATGACTGGCTTTGCATTGTTTTGAGATGTTGCCCAAACAATTATACTGTGGTAAGTCCTGTCATAGGTCTTGTAGTCTGTTAGACACCCACTCTAACTCACTGAGGTTTCTATAGTTGCTCAGCAGCAGGTACTTGAAATTAATTATCATCACTAAACCCAGGGTACCCAGTGATGCTACATAGCACATATTCATTGATAGCCTTCATTTGATCTCAGTAACATTTAAGAATGAGAGTGACTACACATCACAATAATCCAATTGCCTCATGCCTCTCTATCATTACAGCACATTCCCATTCAGTATGATCTGCCTCCCATTTGGCTTTCCCTAAGACTATCTCTCTCACTCCCTATTCAGTGCTTTAGCAAAATCTGTATTTTTCCCCTTTGAATATTGTGCTCTAAGTCACTATTATCAGATAGCACCAGCTTTTATCCACTGCATTGCAAAGAGGGAGGACAACTAGGGAGTGAATCTAAAAATCTGAAAGAATCTGCAGGACTGGAAACTGGGTCATGCCAGTATTAGGATTATCTGATTCACCACTATCTGAAAGGTTGCTTATTATGAAGTCAGATAATTTTAACTGCTCTTAAGTACCAGGCAATAAAACCACTTGACATCTTTCACTGGCAGCCATGATCTTTAAACTTGTCTGTCTGTTAGCCAAGTAGAAAATAAGTGAATATTGGTTAATGTATCTTCCTTCATGTTTTGAGAAGGGTTTACCTTAAGGAACAGTGGTCTCAGGTATATAAGATACAACCTACTTTAATTCCATATGTTGTTCCCCAGCTACAAGCTTTTTTTTTTCTTTTGAGGTTCTACTGTGGCCTCCCCAGTGCCAGAGGTAGAATGGCTCTGCTTAAAAGATTTATAGGATGCAGAGAACATTGTAGAGGAGTTTTATTAATACCTGGGATTCTAAGTCACTAATTTTAAAGGTCTCTTCCACATATTGTCTCCATTTCAAGTTAGCTAGGGTAGACTCAGGAGACATATCTTTATAGATTTTTTCATTTGTATTATCTTTGCCCAGTCCATGACATTTAGCTAAATTCACATGATTGTGAACAGGCTGGATCAAGGACAGTCAGTGTGAATGAGAGCTAAAGCTTGAATAGTCTGATAGTGTATACCATATTTGTTATGTGACTAATGGACAATAGACCTACTCAATTCCAACAGCTGCCAGTGCATATTGGTAAATGCTAACATGACTTGAACATATGTGAGCAACACCCAAAGGTGCCAGAATAAGAGGAGTGGAAGTACAGGCAAGAGCAGACACACAGGCAAGTTCAGGCAAGTTCAAACAAGTCCAAGCAAGTCCAAAAGAGTGCAAGAAACACAGGCAAATACAAACAAGTCCAGGTGAGTCTAAATGAATGCAGACAAGTCTAGGCAAGTGAAAGTGAGTATAGGCAGGTCTAGACAAATGAAGGCAAGCAAAGACAAGTGAAGACAGGTGCAGGCAAGAGAGCAGCAAGTGAGAATGAGTAACACAGATGTTAGTAATAGTCTGGTGAAAATTAATGACTCAGCATGCTAATAGTAGCTGAGATTCAAACTCTAACAGATCAGTTGGAAATCAGATAAGCTGATAAGATATCACACCATGAATTTCCTAGCACTATGCCTTGTCAATCCACATATAAACACATCTTAAATGCTGTTAATCAGGCTATACTTTTATTAGCCAAGTTGCAGTATCAGGATATCCTCAATAACTGGTCAGACTTTGAGTTTGATACCAACTCTGACTTGGACTTGTTACAGCGAACTAGGATGGGCACGATGACAGGTACTCGATAAGAGCAATGCCTGAAGCCGGATTGAGGCCTTACAAATGTAAGGTTCTTAAGACAAGTCAGAGAGAGTGTCCCCGGCTTGAATATCAGTTATCAGACGACTTAGGATTGGAGGTCCTAAGTGAAGGATAGTTCAGGTAAGACCTAGTAGATTAAAGTGAAGATCTATCTAAGTACATGACTGAGCTTTTATAGACGTCATCGGCTTTAGGGCCGGTACGTACACATCATTTAGACGAGTCAGAGATAAGGGAAATGACGTAACTAGGCAAGTCAGAGATAAGGAAGAATCATCTAGCGGTGGCTGCTGCGGCCGTGATGTAATACAGGTATGGTAATGGTTTAGCCTAATGATGGCGCAAGGAGTGCGGTCACGACGTAATACATGAGTGAAGTAGGAGAAAAGAGATAGGGGTTGACCTGACTGTAACAGGACTCACTTGCTACTTCAGATGATTATGATACTATCAGTCTGTCTTCTGGCCCCCCATCCTCCCTCTCTCCTATGATAGGGATTTCAGCTATGAATCCAATAATATTGCTGTGCCTGATGAGCCTCCTTCATAAGCACCCTAGCTCCATATGCTAGTTCATTATGAGGAACACCACTGTGGTGACACAACAGTATGTCTGACCTGCTAATTCAATAGACCAGTCAAAAATGTAAGTGAATCTAGTGCTCTTCCTAGCTGCTACTCCTACAAGCAAGAACATACAACCCAAAGGGATCACTGATTAGGCCAAGGCTCAAAGGTAGGGAGTGAAAAAGGTCTAGCAAAACCAAGGACAGAAAATGTGTTCCAGGAGCTATCTGGTAAATTGAGAAGCTATAACTAGAAAGGCTGCAACTAGGTGATGCTACTAAATAACCCAGGTGAAGAGGGATCAACCAAGAACTGGAAACCAGGTAAAATTAGGTAATGACTGTAAAGTCTTAGGTAAAGGGAAGATAATTATGTAAGCAGCAATAGTGCGAACCTAATCTAAGGAAAATAAAAAAGGGAGACATATCTTAGGTAGTCTGTCATCAGTATGAAAACCAGATCATACAAGGCTGTAGCCAGAATGTCTATGACACCATCCTCACTTGTTTCAGCAGAAGCTTTGTGTCAACCCAGAGATCTCTGATGATATTCTTAATCATATCTCTGATCACCCTATCTTCCAGAACCAGTCTGACAATTCCCAGCTTCCATCTCCATCCAGCTTGCTATTCTTCTGAATCATGCAGGCCACTATGATAATACCATTACTTTTGAGGATGTCACTTGATGGGTAGGTATGAGCATCAGGTCAGTGGTCAATTGCACTAATTGTGTAATAGTTGCAGTACTTAATGCCCATGATCAGTTTATCTGCTTCCCAGCAGGTGACTCTAAGGATAGTGACCTAGCTCATAAATTTGCTAAGTCATATACTTGTCCAGAGTGGAGAGGTGACTTTCTAGCCATTGATGGCTCAACCATGGATCTGTTCATGAAATCTGGTTATTATGATGAGACATTTTATGATATGAAGTCTAAGTATTCCCTTGGCTATCAGGTATTTTTTTCATCTTCATGTGCAAAAACTAATTTAATTCTAGGTAGTCATTTTGTCCCATAACCTCCTGATTGTTGACCACTCTCTTAGTTATCCTGGAAGTATCCAAGATGCATTTGCTTTTCAATTTACTTGCCTCTATGAAAAGTGTGCTAATTTTCTGCCTGATGGTAATTGAGTTTGGGCAGACAGTGCCTATTCATTGGAACCATGATGTATTGTCCTTTTGTCATATCCAAACATCCAGATCTGGATCCCTGACCATTTCCACTTTATGTCCATACCAATTCTTCCCATCATTTCTGGACCCAAACCTAATCCTACATGCTTCCACATATAGACACCCCCTATCTCCAGTATCTGGTTGTATACATATCTGCTTTGATTACTGATCCATCCTTTGTTTTCATATCCAGTTTCATCTTACTTGATCAGTTGCACTTACTAATAAACTGACCATATGTCTACACTGTAAAGACATGGAGAAAACAGTGCTCCACCTCTTACTCTCCTGCCCCCACTATGTGCAAGCACATCACATTCTCACTTCAATTCTCCATTAATGTGCCTTCTCACTGCCATTCTTGCTGTCTAATCATAAAGCAAGTGCCCTGCTCATTCACTATGTCAACAGCACCAGCCATATGCATGCTACATTTGGTGATGTACCTCTACCAAGTGGTAAGAACAAATAATGGTTAGTCACTTTCATACAGATAGTCTCAACATAGCTTTCATTATTGACAACAGGAGCAGGCCATCTGTTCATATACCTCTTACTTGAAGACAATAGGGAATAGGACCCTTTCAGTGACCTGAATGGAGAACTCAGAAGAAGTCAGATAAGTGAAAGTGGTTCATAGCTTTTATATTTAATGTGAGGAAGAGTGATGAGGGTAAATTATCTTAACTGCTAACAGATTAGCATCCACCCAACCAGCCCATTAGCATGCTCACAGCAAGATATACCCTTCTCTCATTTCTTTAGACTTCACTCTCCATTATTCCCTTTGTACCTGGTTTCACACCTGAGTACTTGTATCATCCACAACAAACAACAGTGACCATCACCTTATGAACTGTATAACAATGGTCCTATAGATTGGAAGACTTGTACATCTAAAACAGCCAGTGAAAATTGCAGACTGGTGGAGGCATAGCCTCCACCAGGGCATTTGCAAAGTCAGAGACATGGCAGGGGACACAGGTATCCCCCTTTTCCTAGTTAGTAATGTCCTACATAGGGTACTATACCCCACATGGACAATAATTGGATTTTTTTTTAAAAACTGACCATATGCACTGCACATACTGTACTGGTGTGTATGGATGCAACCATAACATGTAGCACACACCCTCATAGTTACTTATTACATGCACTGTAATGTATAACAGTGGGTAGGTTACATGAGTACAGAGTGTCACAAAGCAATTGTAATCTAGCACTGTAGGGCTTCCTCTCATGATTTCCTGTCCTCTCAATGAGCCCAAATGCTTTCCATGTCACCTCCTGAGTGATAGAATCCTATGTCTTCATCTTCTATGAGCATGGCAGGATCCACACAATAGCCCTGCCCTACAAGACCATCTCCACTGGGTAAATCTATCCCTACTGCCTGAAAAATGTCCAAACACAAGGGAACATCAGTGTCATCATGCACATCAACATCTTCCATTGGGTTCTCTTCCTCAATTCAATAAACATTTCCAATCTTCACATTGATCTCTGCACAAAAGTCAGCATTGTTCTTCATAAACTCACCCAGTGCAGCTTTTGCCTTTTTGCTAGTAAGGCACTTAGCAGACAGATTCCATTCATTTGCAGTACATTTTGCCCATGCCTGGTGATACTAGTGTCAGTATAACATACATATCACATTTTTTGAACTACCTTTTGCACAAGCTTGCTGCTGTTTAAAATCTGCATGTAATTCCAGACATTAACAACAAGTTGAACAGGGGCATTATGAAGAACTGGTAATGATATTGTGAATTTGATCTGATCTGAGCTGCATGGCTGTCTACAAGGAATTGCAGTGCTTCTTGATATAAAAAGTGTTTGATGACACATTGCAGTCCTACATCTGCTGGCTGGAAAATGCCTATACCTACAGTGAATTAATGTTCAGTATTACTGGTAGAAAACAATGATTCTACAACTTACAATTGGCAGGAATAACAATGAGAAAGATATTAGGGAATTCCTTGAAAACATGGACTCAAAATTCTTTGCCAATGTGCACCAGTGTAGAGACTCCATTCTTTACAGGCATATAATAGGTGTATTTTTGCAATTTGGTCTTTGCACTGAGGCCCTCCAAGATGAGTGATATATGTGTAGTATTCGTGATGTTGTACACTTTGGTACACTTTCACATCCCTGTTGCTAACCATTCACATGTCCTGTCCTCATCCTTCAAGGTCCATTGGTGTGTGTTTTATTTATTTTTATTCTGATCACATATCACAGATCCATATATGGTTGTCATATCCTGTATGCTGGACCTAGATCCCATAATATTCCCACACCTTCCAAGCCTACATCTGGACCCCACCTCCAATTTATTCCCAGATTTCCTTTCATCATGTGCTTCACATCTTAGCAGGATTAGCTCTGCTATGGAATTACCCCTAAGCTCCAGATCTTCACTACTAGCCTGATTCATACACCCATATTCTGTCCACCCTATGTGCATTCTGTCCAGCAAGACACCTGGACTTTACCTTCCCTCAGATTCCAGACTACATCTACCCCCTCACAAATCTCAGTCCTGTTTCTGCCTTGCCTTGTGGATCCTCAGATCTCTGGATATTAACTGTTACTATCTGTGGACCTATTCCCACCCTCTGTCCAAGATCCTCTGCCTTTCCAGTTCTCAGTTATCTCTGTTTCCATCTTGCTGATTAATCCTTGTACTAGTTTCATCTCCAAGTTCATTTACTTATGTTGTGTCTCACTTACTAATGTGTTTCCACATGCTCATACATAGCCTTATCCCTTTGCTTACTAATCCTCTCAGATATCCTCTAGTATAAAACCCCTGTACAACTCTAGTAGAGTCCTCAGTCTGAATATCAACTTAGACTTGCCCAATCTTCTTCCAGACTTCAGTGTATCTGAGTGTTGTCTTTTTCCATAAGGCCTGGGGATGGATTCCCTAGGCTGGAAATCCAGATCTTTGGATTTGTCCCCCATGTCTCTGTCTCAAGTCTAGGGATTGCTTCCCTAGGCTGGAGTCTTGCCTTTCCAGCACTTATCCTCTTTCCAGACTTCAGTCCACTTCCTGTCTTTCCAACTCTACCTAAGGGTAGTCTACCTCCATTTGCTTCTACATTGGACAAAGTCCAATGTAGCCCCTATTCCTTCCAGACCTCTGGACCTCCTATCCTTCCATCCTGTTTCCTCTAGAGGTATTACCTTGGGGTCTCTTCACTTCCTATGCAGTAAGAACTCCTTTGAGAACTTCTTATACTCCTCTGGAACTCTCCCATGCTCCTCCGGATGTTTCCCATGCTTCTCTGGAAGTCCTCCCACACTCCACTAGAGTAGCCAGCCTCTGGAAGTCCTTTAGACTTCATAAGACCATCATCAGACTTCATCTGAAATGAAGGGCACATACTTAGGTAAGGGGCACAGCATACAAGCTGAGGCCAAGCCCCTCTGAGTCAGTTTCTCTCTCCCTTGAGCATTGTTCTTAACAATGATACACAGTTACTCATTGTTTCATTATTTTTACTTGGTTACATCACTTACAATATTTACCACTGCCTATTCACTTCTGAAGCCTAGTAATGTGCTTACAAGATGTTACATGTCTCTAGGTAAATTTTTAGTTACTTACTTCCCTTCCACAAGCATCCCTCAGAGTAGCAGCTAGTAGCTGAATTGAGAATCACCTTATCAACTTTCACACTTTAGCATCTAAAAATCACATTTTCTCTATCATCTCCCACCAATTTAAGGAAGAGAGCATTATTGTCCACTTTAAGATCTAGAGGCTAGGTCCATCTAGTCATGAAGCATGCATTTTCACATATCTATTGCATCCAGTATGCTTTGGCACTTATCATTGCATTTCATACTCTCATGCTTCACCAGGTCCTCTGTCAAGAGCTAGTTCTTGGCATTCCCCTTTAAATCTTTAAATCTTTAGAGGAATCCTTTCTCAGTAGCAATCCCCTTGGGTCAAGTTTGACTCATGTCCAGAGGAGCTCTGAAGAGTTCTTGTCATTAGTTTCCCCCATCATCACATCGAATTCCTTGCCTTCACTGGGTAGCAATCAAGGAGGAGAATTGACTTTTGATCATCCAGAAGTTCATTTTCTTTAATCACATGTTTGACATATGGTTTTAAGATAAACTGCATCTACTGCCATGTGTAGTTAGTGTGTGTTTCATTGCTATAAACACAGGCTTTACTTACCTCTTTCATCATTTTGAGTATGCTGAACTTCTGCTTGCTATTTTGATGTGATTTCCAGCTGCCTGTTGACTCTTGTGGCACAGCAGATAGATCAGCAATCTCTTGGACACTGTGCTGATGGCCAATAAGCTTCTTCTTCAAGTTCTCATGTCTCTCAGCTCCTTTATCTACAGTCTAATCTATATGCAGCCTCTTTCAGTAATGCTGCTGTCATTCCCTATTCCTTATCCACTTCTTCTCTTCTCATGCTCTTGCCTCATTCTCCTCATGCTCTTGTCTGGCAACAATCCTCTTCCAAGCAATCTCAAATTCTTGTAGGGTCTGCATTCTGAGCTCCTTGCCAATGATTTTCTTCCATTCTAGTCCAAACAGAGTCTGCTGCTTGAGGGTTGGAGGCATACACACTGCAGGGGTCTTGTTGTCCATGGTATTCAGTGGATGATTGACTTGAATGAGTAATGGCAACTCTGATGCAATTGGAGGAGTCACTTCCATGGTAAAAATGAAATTATAATAACATCATCATTGCTCTCTGTGTTGGAAGAGCTTACTGCTCATCTCCTGGTATTTAATTACCTTCAGTCACAGGCATATACTGACAATGATAACTCACTTTTTTTGGATATTGGCCTGTGCAGCCTTAGTGGCATTGATTAACCATTCAAGTCAGATGTCACAAATGAAAGTTCAATCAGCAGGTGATGATTTCTTGAGCAGTCATTTGAATATCTTTATCAAATTCTCAAAACAATCTGTGTGCTCAACAATGACAAGTTGATTACCATTTCATAGTTGGTGTGTGGAAAAACAAACATCAAGATTGCAATTGAATGCATAAAACGGGCCTTCTTCCTATACATCATTTTTATCAAAACCAAAGTGATATGTTGAGTTTGCAGGCTTGTGTTAAGGTTGTACTCAAGGGATAACTGAATCTGAAGGGCTTTGGCCTCAGCTCATGCACTGTGCCCCTTACCTGAGTATTGCCCCTTATTTCAGGAAGGCAAGACTAATGTGTCTGGAAGGTTGGATGAGTAGCGTAGCGGATCTGGATGACTTCTGGATGAGGGATAAGTATTGTAGGGCTAATCTGGATGAGTCCAGACTAGAAACTAATGGTAATGGACTGTTGGAGACAGAGGTGGATATGGATAGACTATAGGAATCAATCCTAAGTCTCAGAGAGTGATGAGAGTAGAGATACTCAAGTCCTGAGGACAGGAATGAGTAGAACTAAGATGATATTCAAACTGAGGTACTACAGAGAGTTACAGGAGGTTATATACTATAGGTATCTAATGGAATGATCAATCAGCAGAGTCTGAGGCTATGTACAAAGCATATGGATGGTCTATTGGTAAGTAGAAATGGATCACAAATAATGAAACAGAAATGAAGCATAGGTAACAGATCAGGGGGCAGGACAGATATACAGATAACTGAAATACCGGAGTTAGGGGATTACCAAAAAGAGACAAGCACTGGTTGTGGATTCAGATGAATTGTGGACCAGACTGGACAAGTGGACAGATTGGATGTGTTAAGAACCATGCTCAAAGGAGAGAGAGACTGACTCAGAGGGGCTTGGCCTCAGCTCATATGCTGTGCCCCTTACCTGAGTATGTGCCCTTCATTTCAGAGAAAGTCCAATGATGGTCCAACAAAGTCTGGAGGACTTCCAGAGGCTAGCTACTCTGATGGAAAGTACAGGAGGACTTCTGGAGGAGTGTGGGAAATGTCTGGAGGAGCAAGGGAGAGTTCTGGAGGAATGCAGGAAGTGCTCAGGAGAGTTCCCACTGCAAGGTAATACTTCTACAGGAAAACAGGATGGAAGGATAGGAGGTCCAGAGGACAGGAGGACAAGATGTCCGGAGGTCTGGAGTATGGAGAACAGGATGCCCAGAGGTATGAGGGACAGGAGGTCCAGAGGTACAGAAGACAGGAGGTCCGGAGGTCCGGAAGGAATAGGGGCTACATTGGACTTCGTCTGATATAGAAGCAAACAGAGGTAGACTACCCTAAGGTAGAGTCAGAGGGACAGGAAGTGGACCTAAGTCTGGAAAGAGGGTAAGTGCTGGAAAGGCAAGACTCTAGCCTAGGGAAGTAATCCCTAGACTTGGGACAGAGACATAGGGGACAAATCCGAAGGTCTGGAATTCTGGCCTAGGGAATCCTTCCCTAGGCCTTATGGAAAAGGACAAGACTCAGATGGACTTCAGTCCAGAAGATGATTAGCAAGTAGAACAGGATCTAAGATGAAAGAGCAGGAACTAAGATGATATTCAGACTGAGGACTCTACTGTAGTTGTACAGGGGTTATATACTAGAGGCTATCTGAGAGGATCAGTAAGCAAAGGAGTAAGGCTATGTACGAGCATGCGGAAACACATTGGTAAGTAAGACAGAACATAAGTAAATGAACTCGGAGATGAAACTAGTACAAGGATCAATTAGCAAGACGGAAACAGAGATAACCGAGAACTGGAAAGGTGGAGATGCCTAAATGGGAATAGGTGCAGGATCTTGGACAGAGGGTGGGAATAGGTCTGGAGATAGTACAGTTAATATCCAAAGGTCCAGAGATCTGGGGATCCAGAAGGCAGGACGGAAACAGGACTGAGATATGTGAGGTGGTGGATGTAGTCCAGAATCTGAGAGGAGGTACAGTCCGGATGTCTTGCTGGACAGAATGTGCATAGGGTGGACAGGATAGAGGATCCAGGAATGAGTCAGATATGGGATCCAGAAATAGGTCCAGAAAGTGTGGGAATATGATGGGATCTATGTCTGGCATATGGGATATGACAGGATGATGAGATGTTGGAGGGAGATAAGATGTGGATAGGATCTGAGATGAGATAAGGATCAGATCTGAGATCCAGATATGCGGATATGACAGCTTGAATGGAAGGCTTTGAGGCAAGTGTTTGAGCAGCATGCCAATGTGATTGACACAAGCAATGAGAGAGGATTGTAATCCAGTTTCAGCAGTAATAGTGGTAGGCATGTTTAAGCTTTCAAAACTTTATCTACCACTTGCTTATATCAAAAATTTGTTGCTTTTGTTTTATTCATACAACTAGACTATTATAGAACATTGTTTTCTGGCTGTAACATTGTCCTTCCTGTTTCTCATAGTTGTGTGTGCAACAATGAGAAGTTGCCTATTTTAGGTGAGGTAATGCATCATGGAGCTTGGGTTGCATGAGTGCAGGTGTCATGCTGACCCAGCAGGTTACCTCTATACACACTGGTACAGTAGCCTCCTGACTTGGATGACTGATCCTATGCTAGTTACCTACAGTATATAAACTCCTGTACCATTTGTTATCACCTTAGTTCAAATATCAATATAGTTCTTGCTCATTCCTGTCTGTCCCAACTTGAGTCTCCTCTCTCATCCTTTTCATGTCCTTTTTTTTAAAAAAAAATCCAATTCATGTCCACATGAGGTACAGTACCCTATATAGGACATTACTAACTAGAAAAGAGGAACACTTGTGTCCCTGCTACATCTCCAACTTTGCAAATTCCCTGGTGAAGGGGTGACCCCTACCAGTCCACCATTCCTGCCAGCTGTTTTAGATGTGTGAGTCTTCCAATCCATGGGCCATTCCTATGCAGTTTGTGAAAGATTGGTCCCTGGCATTTTCTGTGGATGATACATGTACTCAGGTATAACACTGGGTATGAGGGAAGTAATGGAGAGTGGAATCTATAGGTATAACAGGGGAGAAAATATCATGCTGCAAGTGCACTGAGGGGCCAGGTGGGTGGGCACTAGGGAATTAGCAACTGTGATGATTCATCCTTGTCCTTTCTCATCAAAAATAGTTTTCCATTCCTTCTCAAATGACTCCTGTCATAATCTCCCTGATGGGGTCCTATTTTCTGTCATCTTTGAGTGAGAGTTTTGAAGGCTGGTGACCTGCACCTGCCTTTCATGTGAGAGGTCTACTCTGGATCTACTTATGTGGAAAGGGCTAATCATTATCTATCTTTATGAGGTTTGGGGAAGACATTACTGAAGGTTGTTCATAAATGACCTATACTGTTGACATATTGAATGAGTGGTGCACTTGCCTTGGGATTGGACAGCAAGAATGATAGTGAGGAGGCATGATGACAGAGGGTGAAGGTAAGGACATGATACACTTGCATATAGTGAGAACAGGATGATAGGAAGTGTACTATTGTTTCTGCTATGTTTTTACAGTGTGGCCAGTTAGGTGTGGGGCTCTTGCCAATATGAAACAGATGCTGATTGAGAGAGACATGTCTGGTGTGAAGCCAGAGAAGCATGCTGATGTGTCATTTTGGGAGGTGCTGAGCAAGTGAGACAAGTGATCCTTGAAGAATATTGGGGTCCAGACTGACAGTCCATTTATATTGAGGTGATTTTTCCAGAATCTTGCCCAGCATTCAAATGATTTATGTTTTTGTGCTTGTTCCAGTGCCAATATACTGCAAGGAAGAACACTTTTGCAAAGGTAAGGGAGGAGGTGCTGTCTAGGGCTGGATTCCATATGTGATGCAGCTGCTTGCTTGGCCTCCTGATCTGCTAGCTCATTTCATACCACTCTGTTATGCCCTGATATCCATCTAACTGTGATTTTGAACCAATGGTCATGACAGGCCTTCTTCAAATCTATTATCATACTGCAAAAGTGGTTGATCAAATAGTGTCTTGATTTTGTCAAAAAAACGTCACTGGATTTGATAGTGGCCTAGTTGTCCTCCATGGCTAACAATTGAACTGCTAGGGTGAGTCATACCGCTTTGGCTTTGTACACAGTGTGGTCATCTGAGGAACCCAGATGATAACACAGGATCCTTGGTTATGGTTGGTCATTACAAATGAGCACCACTGCTGCACCAATCTTGTTGTCTATACCCAAACTATTAGTTTAGATCTTTATTCTAAGCAAAGATGTCAGTCACTACCATGTTTCAAGAAGGTTATGATGCATATATACCCCAATGGAAACTCCGTGCTTCTTGTGACCTCCACCTTCATGAACTGCACTAATCTTGATTAGGATGGTCTCCACTGGAGGCAAGCCTGTGGCATAAGCCATCTTGGCCTGGTGTTTGCACTCAATAGCATATAGCCCATGTTGAGACAAGTACCCAATTGGACTAGCTGATTGTGATGAACCTGCCAGGATTAGAGATAAGTAAGAGGGTCATAATAGAGAGAATAATCTAACCTTGCCCAGGCCACAATGTAGATGGACCAGTTGACTGTGGCAAGCCTTATCATAATGTAGGTATCATGATGTCTGGCCCTACAGTGCAACAAGGCATGGCCACTACAGGTGGAGGATTGATCATTACTGTTATGCAAATTAGTGGAGGGACTCCCAACATATAATTTACTCACATTTCTGTTTTGCTGTATTCACCAGCTGTTGAATTGCACACAAGTCAGGAATGTGGTTGTTAATTGAACCCTGTGCACTGGCAAATGGACATGGCTTCTCAGCTTGGTGGATGGGCCTTACTAAGGTCACTGGGTTCTTCTTGTAATGTGCATGGTAGGATACACACAGATTACACTCAGGTTGTCCTGGCTCAATGGTAGCCACATAGAAATATGGCATACCTTTCCTGATCTTGGCCCTACAAACAGGATGGTTACAGATGTGGTCCTCTTTGGCATAAGTGTCCTCAGTGAATTGAGAAACAATCTTGTACTCTATCATCATGGTCTGCAATAATCTGCTGCTGCTTCATCACCTTATATATATAAACTGAGCATGACTGGAATATATTAGTCAAACAAACAATTCAAGAGACAATTCAAGAGGTTTACCAGGTCATATATGACCATAACACATGCAAGTCACCAGAACACTGAGTCACCAAAACACATTGGTCAAGGAGACAATTTGAGAGATAATTCTGACTATGGTGGATGATATAGATGATACAAGCAAGAGTTCAAATCTTGCTTGAACACTAAATGTAACAGATGATGCTAGTTGAGGAACAAGTTAGACTTTGCATCATGGCCTGCTGCTCTGAGATGTGATCACTTGGGGAGACACTTTGGTACTATACTCGATAATGTCAAGATAGAGATGCAGAACAAGCAAATCATTGAGATGGGTCATGCACAAATTTGTCAATATCTTCAACAACTGTTAGCAACGCTCATGTGATTATTCAAGTACAACCATTAGCAGCACTTGCATGATTATTCAAGTTTGGCCACAAAAATCTGTTGCCAGTGGTACTAAGCAGCTCCTCTCACTAACACCAATTGATCCTCCAATTCCCATCCATGACCCAGAGTTGATGCATCCCTCAATAGGTGATCAATTAGTTTCATGCCCTCCAGGACACACTCCTCTTCAAGCTGTCTTTCTACAATCTGCACAAGTCATCCCAGGAAGTGCACATTTTTTGAGATTATGCCAACATCATCTGAAAAGCTCATAAATGCCTACAAGCATGAATTTGAAGTAAATGACTTACTCAGGACATAAGGCCATATATGACCGGAAAACTTGGATTTGCAAGAGGATGAGCACTCTCCAGATCCTCCAGATACCAGGTTCCAATAACACCTATAGACCAGTCTACAGTCTGAGCAAAGCAATTCTGAATATGATGAGCAATACAAGCCGGAGTGAGTGTTCACATGCAACTCTCTGCAGATGGGCAAGACAAAGGGCAATTAGAAGAGGTAAGATGGTGAGAAGAGAAGGTAAGACTCAGACCCTATATCTTTGGCTCAAGATTGAAGTAATATTATAAATATCAATACCTACATAACTGTTATGATTGTCCCCATGCCTAACCAATGGAAACTCACTTGTGAGTGGCCACACTTCCACTATAACTTTACTCCCAGTGCAGGCAGCTCCACTGGAGGTAATTGTGCCACATATTCTTTACATGTGGAAACCACACCAGACAGACCATGAGATTGTCCTTGAGCTGCAGAAGCACATTGATACAACTTGCTATGACATCAGGTGAGTCACAGGATTTTTATTCCTCACACATAATGTAATGTTAAACACTAGACATACCAAATTTTCCAAAATCCACAAAGCAATGGGCCTTCAATGGACCTATCAGCAAGATACTATTGAGTCTATCCACAATGTAATGGTTGAGTTACATGTGATCTATCTGAATGTGAGAGCACGCAAATTGGCAAGCTTACTGTATCATGAGCAGGATATGAGTGTGGCTAGGTGATATGACTGTGCTAACTATACTGCATTAGGTCACTGACTCTTTTTTATCTTAGGAGTGTCATAACATCATACTTTGCTGTGTTTGAACCTGATCCTGTCTGTGAGCATAAGGCACATCACCTTTGAAAAAGGCAATTCTAGGCTGCTGGTGTGAATGACTTGTTTGTAGCCAATCAGCATGATAAATGGCTCAAGTTTGGTCTGGGGCTGCACACAGGTATTGAGCCATTCTCTGGCTGTATTATGTGGATCTAAGTCTGGCACTTTTACAGAAATCCACAGTTGATTCTTTCCTATTACCTTGATATGCTTGAGGAACTTGGCCATAAGTTAATTTGCATTGTTCATGGGACCCAGTAGCCTGGTTTATTTCATAGATATGCCTATGATAACACAAAGTGACCCTGGTCCTGAGAATTTCAGCATTGCAAATACTCACATGATGTTGTGGCAATGGCATGATCCAGCCTTGCATGACACACTCTAGCATCACTAGATGCAAAGCAAGAAGAACATCATGCCAGAGATTACATGGTCTCAACTACATCACTGTTTTACCCCAGGTTTTGAGTTACCAGTGAATCACGGTGTTAATATAGGCTGATATGATACTAACAACACCGTTCAAGTGTAAGTCATGTTTTCAGGTCCCATGTCATCACTAGCAGCTCAAATATTTGCTCAGACTGAGTTTCTGTTGGGTCTTTATTCCATGGCTCCAGTAGGAGCTAAATGCTTATTAGGATCACATCAATAACTCTATGAAATGGCTCAACCACAACAAGGTACATTTCCTTGCTCTGTAGTACTATCATATCATTGAATCTTTCATGTTCTCATCCAGATTCTCCCACATGGCATCCCAAATATTATCTATGAGGCAGCTGAAGACTTTGGTGCTTTGGATTTCAAGGTTCATAACATATATCACCACTACTGTCAACAGTATTCCAATATCAATCCTGTACACAGATTCAACTTGAACAAGAGGCCTAGACCATGTATGAAGTACCTACATCAAGCCTTCACATCAAGTATTTGATCTGGTTCCTGAGGTGTTCAGAGAATGTATCTCACAGTTCTATGATGGATTGGGTTGCCCAGCAGTTACATAGCAATTGGCTTGGGAGATTTATTTTCAGTTGTTGAAAATGTTGCAGTGCACTGATGAGCTGCCACCACAGATTGAGCTCCTAGACAGTGAAGATGAAGAAGTTATCCCACTGTTGGATAATTATCAGGACTTACCTGCACATGAGGAATCCAACAATACATGTTATATGGGGGGTGTGAATGGAGGACTCAGCATGGGTATGTGTTGCTATTCATCATGATCCATGTTGGAAACATGATATCTTCTAAATACTAGACATCATCATCAATTGGACATCCTTGAGTGGGATGATGAGCCAGAATTGACAGAAGCTAAGGAAGCCTTTGGACTGGATGATGCCAGTGTAGAGAATGAGATTCCTCCAGGCATATATCATGTATATTTCAACTCACAATAATTGGTACAGTGCATCACTCACTCTCTGACTTTCCTGCAAAATGTGCCAGAGGCACGACACTTTCCTGCACTATGTGATGCATTCTCATGCATGCACTTGGTTGCACTATGTCATGCAGCATCCTAGAGCCTCCATCCATCATCCAACCAGTTCCCTGGTGCATCCTTTTCTGTTTATTCTTACTATCAGACCATATTTAGCATTTGTATGACATTATTTTGTCATGGACCCTTGCTTACATCACTTACATACATACAGCACTCCCTGTTCACTTCCAAGCCCTGGGAGTATACCTAGGCACAGCTTACCTATTACCAGGCAAGTAACCACCATCAGCTATTACCATTATGTCAGTTAGTATCTAGCAGTCAGAATCCATCATCATAAGTTAGCATCCATCAGGTGTTGCCCTAGTCCTCAACAACAGTCCATCATCATCATCTCCTCTCAGCACTCTCAGTTCATGTCTTCACAACATCTACCAGTCTTTTATATGTTTGCACACTGCATGTGTCTTATTCCCATGCTTCACACACCTACACACTTCATATTCCTGCATGCACTTTCATCACACTTCACCAGAGTTGACCTGGTGTCAACATATTACTTGGCACACTTTGACCAACACCTAGAGAGTTAGAGGCTTTTCTCTCACCCCAGAGGTAGAGCCATCTTTCTTTCTTTCTTTTGCTCTGCAAGCCAGCAGAGTTATTAAACCTTCACTACCTTGGTTGTCTCAGAGTTCTCAGACTGTGAAGATGATGATAGTTTCACAGATGAATGGTAATAGTCTCAATATACTATTTAGCTTTCTTGTACAATTCAGACCACTGAACCTGGTGTCAAGTGTGGATTCCCATGATACATGAAATGTCTAACTGCATCACTCCAAAGCTAATATTATAATGCCAGCAGTGTACAGGGTCCTATGCCCTTAAATGGATGTGTGACACTGATTTGAGAGCACAGACATTAGACTTTCCATATGCCTGTGGGGTTATCATCAACATTTACCATCTTTTTCTTCCTATCTAAATAGAATAGAATCCTACAATTAGAGGGGTGAGTGGCTAGATAGCTCACTAGGGCATCAGTAAGAGCAGTTTTGCTTTGCCATTGAATTGACATCTTGGGCCCTGGTGCTAATGCAGGGCTGTTTGATTGTCCTTCAGAGGTGAATGCTTAAGGATCCATTACCCTTGAGCACACTCAAGCATTGGCTCAAAGCTATACAAAATAACAAACATTTTAGTGAGTAGCAGGCATGTTTTGAAACTCCACTGTGTCATGCTGGTGTAGAGACTCATGTCTCTGTATGCCCATAGAGCCCTATATTGCAATGTACAGTGGCTCAAAAAACTGTCCACATGTTTTGACATTTTTCACTATCTATGATATTGTGTGAGAACTCACAAATGCCTCAAGGACATGCTTATACCACATTGTAGTATGGCTTCAGGGCTTTCATTTGAGCCCTACACCGTGGGAATCGGTGGAGATATGGTGGAGATACAAGGCTCACAAAATGGTGACTCATGTGGACAGTTTTTTGACTCAAGTATTTTACAATAATAACCAGGTATTCATGGCTTTCTTTGATAAACTTGGCCACAGTGGACTTGCATACTCCAGTTCTAGAGGAAATTTGGCAAGCAGAGAGGCCAGCATAAGACAGAGAGAGGATATTATCTCTTTAGGCAGAGGAGATGGCTTTCATGATGATTATGACTATGATACATGAGATATTCTGGTTTATATAGTTAGATATAGTCATAAAATAACATAATGACACCACTTCATAATTTATATAATAGTGGCATGATTTTTGTAGTGTCATAAATAATGATTTATATAGTTTTAATATATACTCAAAAAACTGTCCACATGAGTCATCATTTTATAAGCCTTATGTCTCCACCATATCTCCACCAATTCCCACGGTGTAGGGCTCAAATGAAAGCCCTGAAGCCATACTACAATGTGGTA